TGCTCGAAGTTCGGAAATTTGAAGCACATTTTTGTAGACAAGTAAGTTTTTGGCAATTTTACTGATCAGAATCTTTGGGGGAGTTAATCTTCTACGCCTGATGCACGTGCATGATTCTCAGCATGACTTAGAAGGTTATACCTTCTGGCTCGGATGTGTGCGGAGAAACCTCTCTGAAAAATTAGGACGAGTTTTTATATGCATAAGCCTGAATTGATACAATCCTTATTGTTATTGGTTTAACTTGATCATCCTGGCAATTGTTAATTCACACGATGTGAAGTATATGATACTCCTTACCTGTCAAAATATTGAAATTGGTCACCCTGGTTCTGTTGTTCAAGTTTTGTGGCTTGTGTCTCTTTTCTACCTAAAAACAGGAATAGCGCCGGTTTTGTATTTCTGAGGTTCGAGAATACGCAGTCTGCAAGTGATGCACAACGAGCTCTTCATGGAAGATGGTTTGCTGGGAAGATGATAACTGCGACGTTCATGGTATCATATTTCGAAGTGTTCTCTTTTATATGCAGGTTTATAATAGCACCCCACCTTTTCACCTTAGGGAAATTAAAAAAAGGAGGCATGAGTTTTTACTTCGCCGAATGCAGGTGCCCCAAACCTATGAAGCTAAGTTCCCTGACAGCAGATAGGATTCTGGAGTTGGCTGCTCAATTGCGTTGTTGCATTCATCGCATAACATGGACATCACTGGTCGAGGTTTTTGTCGGGGGAGTTGAGTTTCTTAGTTTACACAACCTATATAGGAAAGAGAAAGAGGACCTGTCTAATGTCTTGCTTCTCCTTTTCCTTTTGCTTTTCCTTGTCTCTTGTCTTTTTCTAATTTGATGGAAGCCTCTCCGTTTCTTGAACAAATGTCTGAGTTCCTGGACTCCCGATGGGCGGTCTTTCTGGGGATTTGTTGTACCATATGGAGTGAAATTTTCAGGTATATACTCCTAACGTTAGATAGAGTCGGTTTTCTGTCGCAATGTTTCTTCTGTCTCCCATGAACCTGTGAAGATTTCAAAGGTAAATGTGTGGTTTGTCCCTTAGAATCAGAATATCCCAGAACAGGGGCATTGAAGAATCGACAAAAAGTACTTGCAGTTCTATGGATTTTGAGGAATGGCACCAAGTGTTATGGTTTGTTCATTTCTACCATGAGCGAGCGAGGCCTCACTGATATAGGGAGACGTGTTCATTTGGAAAATAAGCGCATGGAGAAGACCGAAGGTCATACTGATACGGCAAATGTACGCGTTGTTTCACACCGTTGCGGCCCGTGGCCGTCACCCCTAGCTGGTGAGGGCCGTGATGTCATCACAGGCCCTAAATCCGAAAACTCCAAAAAATAAAGGTAAGGAAAAGGAAAGAAAAAGAAATTATAAAATATTATTAAAAAATGTTCACTTCATTGCCAGTCAGGTCACATAGGACGGTCGGCGTTCATGTCAGCAATGTTTGGCTAAAATTGTATTTAATTGATAAAACGTGAAAAAGTTTAAAATTCAATTAAAATGTTTATGAATGAATTAACGAAAATGCAATAAATTTTCGTACTTTTTTGGTAATTTTTCCTTCAATAAGATTTCAAGCACACTTTTGTCGAATGAAGTTGGTTTAGAATTTTGAGTCTCCTTATTTCTCCTTAGACTAGAGTACTTTAAGAAAAAGGCCGACGCTCGTTGGCATTGGGCAATGGCTCGCAAGCCCTTGTTGTGGTCGGCAAGGGTTTGGCGGCCCTTGCCCGATGCCCTTGCCAGCCACAGAGAGGGCCATGATGAGGGATGCCATGCCCTCGCTTGCCAAAACAAGGGCGTGCAGGCTGTCGCCTAGATCTGGTGGGATCCGCGACGCCCTTGCCGGAACCAAAATGCAAATACACAAAGGAAAGAGAAATAGATTCAAAATGCCTTTTGCGTAGGCTTACACGGAGAACACACCTTTCAGACAAGCTTTTTCTCTCTAAGCTCAACTCTCTCCCTCTCTATTTCTAAGGCTTTCCACTCACAAAATTACCGGTGTATCCACTAGACCTGTTAAACGGGTGGGTCGGGTCGGGTCATAAATGGTCCGACTCAAATTGACCAATTAACCCGTTTATGACCCATTTATTCGGTGTAAATATCTCGACCCATACCCGACCCGACCCATACTGCTAAAACACTTTTATATTTAACCTAATCTAGGAATATTTGTTTCTTATGATTTTTTTTTAAAATTATACTGCTAAAACATTTTATGCAATACAAAACTAGTGAAAAAATTTTATAATTTTTTTTAAAATTGAGGTTCTGTTTGTTTTACGAAAAATGCGACATTTCTAAAAAATATTTTCCATAAAGTCATTATCCAAGAAAATAAAAAAAAATTAATATTTTTTTTATTTTTTAAATCGAATTTTTAATTATTTTTTATTTTTCCTTTATTTTTGGCCGATCGCCGGCCGCCGTGGCCGGCGACCGACCACAGGCGAGGCCGAGGCCTCGCCGATCTAGCGAGACTCGAGCTCGCCGGCCTCGGGCGAGCTCGACCTCGCGCGGATACGGCGAGGGTGGAGCCTCGCCCGAGGCCGGCGGCTTCGAGCTCACCCGGCCTCCTGGGCGAGGTCGAGTTCGCCGAGGGCGGCGAGCCCGAGTCTCGCCGGCCTCGGGCGAGGCTCCACCTCGCCGGAGGGGCGGGACGACCTCGCCGGGAGGCCGTGGCTTCCGAGCTCGCCGGCCCAGGCGAGGCTCGAGCCTCGCCGATCTGGCGAGCCTCGAGCTCGCCCAGATTCGGCGACCTCGAGGCTCAGTACCTGCCGACCTGTGGCGAGGCTCCGGCCTCGCCGATCGGCGAGACTCGAGCTCGCCGGCCTCGGCTAGCTCGACCTCGCCGGCCTCGGGCGAGGCTCCACCTCACCAGATCCGGCGAGGTCGAGCTCGCCCGAGGCCGGCGAGGTCGAGCTCGCCTGAGGCCGGCGAGCTCGAGTCTCGCCAGATCGGCGAGGCTGGAGCCTCGCCACAGGTCGGCGAGGCCGGAGCCTCGAGGTCGCCGAGATCCGGGCGAGCTCGAGGCTCGCCAGAGATCGGGCGAGGCTCGAGCCTCGCCCGAGGCCGGCGACCTCGAAGCCGCTCGGCCTCCGGCGAGGTCGTCCCGCCCCGGTGGCCGGTCGCCGTGGCCGACCACCGGCCGGAATAAAAAAAAAAGAAAAAGAAAGAAGAGAAAAGAAAAAAGAAAAATAAAAGAAAAAGAGAAAAAAAAATTAAAATTCGATTTTTTTTAAACATTTTTGTAAAGAGGGAGAGAGTGTGTGGATGGATCTAGTAGGTGGGTTGGACATGGGTTCTAAACTCAACCCATTTAGACCCATTTATCTTTAAGCTTTAAAATTTAAAACCCATTTAAGGTTGACTCTTTAAAATTAAAGTGATCCATATATGACCCATTTATTTTTAAATGGGTCATATATGGGTTTAAGACCCATTTTGACACCTCTAGTATTCACACATATTTAGAAGCATTTCCACCGCCTATGACTTCACCGCCTTTTAGGAAAGTTGTAATACAAGAAGAACTTTTCTTCTCAGCTGACTTTAATTTGTCAAAGAAAAGAACCCATGGTTTCGATGTTGGACTCTGCTTGCCTTCATGCAAGTTTTGGTCCAACTTTACAACTTGACCCTACTTGTCTTCATGCCAGCTGTGCTCTCCTCCGTGATTAAGTAGAAGGTCGGTTAAGAGTGGGAGTTCCACCACAATTCAATTCTTGCAGTCAACAGCCTATGCCAATTCCAAGTAGAATTGTTCTTCAATGTCAAAGTCAAAAATGTGAGCATCCTTATATATTCCATGTGGCTAAAAGAAGTCCTACTTGTTTTTTTGTTTTGTTTTATCTTCAACCAAAAATCAATTTTACTATTTTTAACGACCCTGCTAGATCTGGGCCATGCGAGGGCGTCTTGGCCCTTGCCTATGGCCGGTAAGGGTCAGCCAGTGGCCTTGCCGACCCTCTGCCTAAGAGAAATATAAAGAAAAAGTATATAAAATTTAAAAAATATTAAATATTATTAAAAATGTTCACGTCAGCCCCTATCGTGCCTTGTAGAACAGTTGACATCCACGTCGGCGATTTCCGACCAAAATTGGCTTGAAGGACTCAATTGGGTAAAAATATTTAGGACTAAATTGGTCAAACTAAAATGTTTATAATTGAATTGGTACTAATGCAATATGTCTATGATTTTTTGGATACTTTTTCCCAAAAAAGAGCACCGAAATACATATATTTAACCACCGCCCGCAGCGGCTGCGTTGGCTTGCGCTCTAGTCCCCCCACGAAGGGATCATAGTTCGAACCCCAGCGTAGTCGTTAGGGATTCTTAAGTGTGGCGCCGTGGTGGTGGGTCCTGCGCTAGCGTCACCCCAGGTTTATCCCTCCGGCTGTCGGCCGTGCGGGGGGTTCCTGAGTTATCAAAAAAAAAAATACATATATTTATAGACAGGTAGATTTGACTTTCTCATCGCTAGAAGGAAGCATGTCTGCATCATTGATCATACTGAATAATGCATATGAAAGATATCTAAAAAGTTATAAATTTATCTTACGACGGTCAATTCAGTCCTCAATCTTTCAAATTTGTCAATTTTTTTAATTAATTTATTCTTTTATTTTTTCATGATTGGCCAATTTAGTCATTCCAACTAATTTTGGTTGCAAATAACTGATGTGACAGTTTAGTCAATGCCAGTTGTTGTACGTGACATATGTCGTGACAAGATCGCTCTATGAGAACAACATATTATTTTATCTCCATGAGAACAACATATTATTTTACCAACCTATTATTATAAGCGATGGCTTTCCATAATTATGGTACCATTGGTCGTGACATCATCCTTCATTCGTTCGCCGTGACATCATCTTTCATTCATTCGTCTTCATCATTTTGCCTCTCGTCTTTCTTTATATATCATCCTGTCTGAACTCTGATACATCACCACCCCCTTTGAGAGAGAGAGAGAGAGAGAGAGAGAGAGAGAGAGAGAGAGAGAGAGAGAGAGAGAGAGAGAGAGAGAGTCGAATCAAGGTGCTGTGTCATGGAAATGGCTGCGGACGTAGTGATCGTTGGAGCCGGCATAGCAGGACTTACCACTGCTCTAGGACTTCATAGGTATCGCATTTTCAATGAAGGAGTCAAGACTTAAAAGAGATTGCTAGAAAGTTGTTTAGTCACCTTTTGCTTCCCTCTGGATGTTTCTTCACATGTTTTCCCGCTTGAATTGTGTTGCTGAATGATGCCATGTGCGCTGCAGGCAAGGCATTAGGAGCTTGGTCTTGGAATCCCATGATTCTTTGAGGATCACGGGTTTCGCGTTAGCAACATGGACAAATGCTTGGAAGGCCTTGGACGCGGTCGGGATCGCAAAATCGCTTCGTAGGCAGCACAGCAGGCTCCTTGGGTAACTAAGCAACTTCCTTCTCTTGCTGTAGCTGATATGATTATATTTCCTACGCTCACTTTAATATAATAGAGAACCAACTGCAATTTGCATGAACAGTGAGACATTACTTTGAACTCTAAAATAGAAAGCACGATTATAGAGCGATTAGTTTAGTCTACCGAGATAGTTGACAATCTGATATTTTTCCGACAATTAACCAAGCATGGAGAGCGATTCAAAAACTGATTTGACGGTTCAAAGAGACGTGGTGAGTCGCTAGTGGTATTTAAACACAAGCCACATATTCCAATATTTCGTGAGCATCCGCGACACCGAAAATCAACCTCACTGTTGACCCAATGACCACTTACATATCTCTATTGTTGCAGATAATATTTAGATATCTCTAAGCAAAACCCACCCTCATTACAAACTCATTTCTGCATCTTTCGTAGGGCTTGGGCGGGGTTTAGTTTTTAGGTAGTTTTGAGGATTTAGGGTGTGTAAGAATTGAGGATCGGAGGATGGGCACTTATGGACAATGACATTTTCGGTAAATAAGGACACGAGGGTATTTGATGTGAAGGTGTAATGTGGTCACCATAGATAAAACTCAGGCATGTAATTAGTAATTTCTCCATAGCACCATGCTACGTAATTGCACGAGCACAAGATGCATGATGACACAAAAATGGGACAAACGCCTGAACTTCAAATGAAAAGCTTTTCTGTCTTATTCTATCAACATCTAGTTCGTGCCTCTGTTCATGCAAGTTCAATTGACATATCAGATGTTCTGGTTGCAGGGTGATGACCACTTCCACAATTTCGGGACTTTCTACAGGAGAGAGTCCATACAGTGCCATGGGAACACAGTTAATTCATTTAAGCTCGAAATTAGCTGGTCAATTAATTAGATACACCCCTTGTATTTCATGTGGAAAAATGAACACAATGCTTTCCCTTATGTAAATGGGTACAATATTGCAGGAGAGACCATGAAGTTCGTTGTGTGCAGAGGAAGATCTTGATGGAAACTCTAGTGAAAGAACTTCCAAGTGGCACCATAAAGTTTTCTTCCAATTAGGTTGTTTCGATTGAGCAATCAGGCAACCTTAATCTTATCCATCTTTCTGATGGTTCGATTCTCAAGGCAAAGGTATTGCATCACGATTTACCGTTAATTAGGAAGATTTACTTAGAATGACAGTGAGATATCTATGCTTGAGAACAGCCCCTTTGTCTGCGGAAAATGTGCTCGCTTTTGCAAGCAAAACGATGTCTTATGGTTTAACGGACCTTTCTGCTAATACTTTATCTCTAAATGCTAGGTGTTGATCGGGTGTGATGGAGTGAACTCGGTAGTGGCAAAATGGCTAGGCTTCAAGGCGCCTGCTTTCGTTGGCCGATGTGGCGTCAGGGGCTTTGCATATTACAAGAATGGTCATGGTTTCGAGCCCAAACTTTTCCAGTTAATTGGCGAAGGATTTAGATCTGGCTTTGTCGCCTGCGATGATAAGATTATGTATTGGTTCGCCACCTTTTCTACTTCCATGTCCAGTCAGGGTGAGTTTTTATATGCATTTTTTTCCTGCTGAAGAAAAACCCCTTTCCTTCATATGAGCCGGCATCGGCATATATTAAATTCTTCTTGTCAATCCCACATACTTTCTACAAGCGCATAATGTCATTTTCTGTGATGAAGAGATGGAAGAGAATCCGGCTAAGCTGAAGCAATTCGTGCTGAGCAAGCTCGGAAAAGTTGCTGACAACTTTAAAGCCGTTATACGCGACACAGAATTGGAAAACTTGGCATTAGCTCCACTCAGATTCAGACACCCATGGGACATTTTATGGGGGCGCATTAGCAAAAGCAACGTTTGTGTAGCTGGGGATGCATTCCACCCCATGACACCAGATATTGGCCAAGGAGGCTGTTCGGCTCTAGAAGATGGGGTCATCTTAGCAAGATGCCTCGGTGAAGCCTTGAGGGACAAGCAAGGCATTAGAAGTGAAGAGGACGAGAGGATTGAGATGGGTCTGCAGAATTATGCCAAAGAGAGAAGATGGAGAGCATTTGAGCTCATAAGTACAGCCTACATGGTGGGATACATCCAAACAAGCAATGGCAAGATATTGAGCTTCCTAAGGAGTAAAGTACTGGGCGGGTTCTTCGCCAGCCAGCAGCTGAGAATAGCGAGCTTCGATTGCGGGAAGCTGACCACCTCTTGAGTTCAGAGCTTACTCCTATGCTTTGTTGTGGCCTTTTCATGTTACACAGTGATGTCTCAACTTAGTTTTTATATGTTGACATAAAAAAAATAATACGTGTGAAATCTTTTTAATATGGAAGACAAATAAACATATTTTTTATTTTGTTTTTATGTATCGCCTACTATATTTTGCAATATATATATGTATGTATGTATGTATGTATGTATGAATTCTCTACCTTATATATTGTTAAATTTTTTTTTGCAACATCTAATGGATTGCTATAGAAATTCACAATCTATGCAATGTTACAACATGTCTGTAATCTTTCTATACTACAATCTATCTCTTCTATATATGTATTATTCAGCTATGTATAAACATAGCTGAATATTGGATTCCAGGCTCTAATTTTTAGAATATTAAATGTATAATTCTTTCATGTTTAATTAAATTTTAAATAAATATTTTTTATATTCTAACAGTTATATAATATGAATAGCATAATAAGTAAATTAATTTAAGGTGATTTTCTTGGTTCAATGATACCAGACTACAGAAATCATAGATATCAATTTAGTTTCCAGTGTATATGAAAGCACAAGTTTCGACTTTTGAAATGTTTTCAACCTTATACATCTTTGAAACCCTTTACGACCACGCTAAAATAAAATATGGGCGCAAGATCGTACTGGCATGAACCCTAATATCGAACTAATACTTCAAACGATAACGTGCTAATGCAATCCGCAATAATGCGACGCGATGGACAGAATAAAAACTAATTATCTTACTAGTTTAGACAGACGATTGTATTGAATTCAGTGGAGCACAAGCACTAGTCATGGTTACGATGGAAAGAAAAGCACATTTGATTTTGGCATCAAGTAATACATTAGACTAGAAAGAATAAGCCTATAGCCGGAGTGGATAGAGTGAGAACAAGAACTACAGACGCAATATTCTTATTTTAACATTCGCTAGTTACTATTTGACAGACCAATACACCATGGTGACTTCCGTCATTAGTGTCCTATTTGTCGTTGCATGCATTCTTCATCTTTGTGCAGTTTGTCTTCATTGTCTTTGCCTCTTTCGTCTTTCTTAATAAGAGACCTCACGCGAGAGAGAGAGAGAGAGAGAGAGAGAGAGAGAGAGAGAGAGAGAGAGAGAGAGAGAGAGAGAGAGAGAGCTGTTGATTCATGGAAGCAGTTGAAGACATAGTGATTGTTGGTGCGGGCATAGCAGGCCTCACTACAGCTTTAGGACTTCACAGGTGATTGTTCTGGAAGTGGAGTAGTTGGAACTTGAAAGAGTTGTTCTCTAAAAGTTTCTTGTTCTGCTCTGTCCCATTCTCACCCTCTTTCATGTTGGTAGTGCTGATAACTATGTATGTTGCAGGCTTGGCATTAAAAGCTTGGTTTTGGAGTCGTCTGACGGGTTGAGAACCACAGGGTTCGCCTTTACGACATGGACAAATGCTTGGCGGGCCTTGGATGCGGTCGGCATCGGTGAACCGCTCCGCCAACAGCACAACCAACTTTTTGGGTAACTGATGAAAATCCTCCTCCATTTGCTGTGGCTAAGATGAATATATTTGTTATTCTTACAATTACTGTGATTCATTATTCCAATTACAATTCAAATGTGGAGACATAGCTTTGTATGATTGGCTTGACCTACCTGGTTACTTGACCACATATTGTTTTTGACACGGCTGAGCCCGTGCCGATGGTATAGGGTGGACATGTCATTCTAATTTGGGGGTGATCAGGGAGAAACCATTCACACAATATCATAAAATGGCTTAGACTGACTATCCCTAAGGATTTTTTTTTTGGTCGAAGTCCCTTAGGATTCGAGCCTTTTATTGATGAGAATCATTTCCAAGCCTCATGATCGCGGAAAAGTGAGTGTCTTTGGATGGTGATGTTTCGTCTTAAGAGTTTGCCTTTTGTCCGGGTTTAAGAGAAGGAATGCATTAGGAGAGGGATTAGACAAATCCTGACATTGCAGAGTACCCATGCTAGGAGTGCACGAGCAACGTTACATGACATCTGATTTGCGACATAAATACATCAACTTTAGATGGAAAAAGAAACTTGCCATCATATCAATTCAACAGCTGGTTCTTTTTGTCATGGCTCTGTGCCCGACTTCAACTGATATTTGAGAGGTTCTGGTGCAGGTTGGTGACCTCTTCCCGAGCTTCTGGACTTTCTACAGCTGATAGACAACCTGATGCCACGAGGACACAGTTAGTCGTTTGGATTCATGAAGATCGACGTGACTTAAAATTGCATTCGGACTTAGCCATTCAATTAAAACAGATCCATTCCTCACATTTCTCGCGAAAATTCAAATGGATTCCTAATTTCCTTTGTTAATGGTTTTCCTTATGTATGGCATGTCTTCTTAACTTGGTGCGTCTACTGCAGACGTGTCCATGAAATTCGTTGCTTGCAGAGGAAAACCTTGTTGGAAACTCTTGAGAAAGAACTTCCTAGCGGCACTATAAGGTATTCCTCCAAGGTTGTGTTGATCGAGGAATTGGGCTACCCTAAGCTGGTCCATCTTTCTGATGGGTCAATTCTCAAGGCGAAGGTATGGCATCATAATTACCATAATTAGGAAATCTGCTTAGAGTGACAGAGAGATATTTTATGCTCGAGAGACGCCCCTTTGTCTGTGCAAAATTTGCTTGCTTGTCTGAACAAGATATCTATGGTTTAACTAATCTTTAAGCTTCTGACATAAAAAAACTAATCTTTAAGCTTATGCTCGATATGAAAATGCTAGGTGTTAATTGGGTGTGATGGAGTGAACTCAGCAGTGGCAAAATGGCTAGGCTTCAAGAAGCCTGCTTTTGTTGGCCGATCTGCCATCAGGGGCTCTGTGTATTATGAGCATGGTCATGGTTTCGAGCCTAAATTCTTCCAATACATTGCTGAAGGAGTTAGATCTGGTGTCGTCGCTTGCAATGACAAGTCTATATATTGGTTCTTCACTTTTTCTTCTTCCAGCAAGAGTGAGTTTCTGTACTTCCTTCGATATGAGTTGGCTTTTGGCAGCTATAAGATTCTTTTACTCTGCTTTTCATATGATCTACAAGCAAACAATGTCACTTTCATTGATGCAGATGAAGAGATGGAAGAGAGTCCGGCCAAGATGAAGCAATTCGTGCTGGCAAAGCTTGGAAAAACACCGGACAACGTGAGAGCTGTTATCGAGAAAACAGAACTGGATAACATAATATTGTCGCCGTTGATATTTCGACCCCCGTGGGAGATTCTGCTTGGAAACATAAGCAAAACCAATGTCTGCGTAGCCGGAGACGCATTCCACCCCATGACGCCAGACATCGGCCAGGGAGGCTGTGCGGCTCTAGAAGATGGCATTGTCCTAGCGAGATGCCTGGGCGAAGCCTTGAGCGACAAGCAAGGCGTGAGCAGTGAAGAAGAGCACAAGAGGATTGAGATGGGCTTGCAGAGTTATGCCAAAGAGAGAAGATGGAGAGCATTTGAGCTCATAAGCACAGCTTACATGATGGGATACATCGAACAGAGCAATGGCAGGGTATTGAACTTCTTGAGGGACAGAGTACTGGCCAGCTTCTTGGCCCGGCAGAGGCTCAAGATGGCGAGTTACGATTGCGGGAAGCTGAGCGCTTCTTGAATTACCCTATTTGTTTACTTATCAATGTGTTCTGTGCGAGCATTTATACGGGCCGACCTCATCATGCATCATATACAGAATACTAATAGGGGAGATAGTTATGTTAAGTTGTGATCGGTTTGCTTTGCCTCTCTCATGACATAAAAAAAAGAATAAAGGGATAAATGCATTGAAAATCCTAAAACATGTTATAAAAGTGCAATTGAGCCTTAAAACTTTCGAAAAGTTCAATTAAGTCCTAAAATTTATCACGAAAATGTAGTTGGGTTCTAAAACTTTAAAAAAAATGCAATAAAGTCCTAAATTTTTTGTAAAATTGGTCAAATCAAGTACTTCTGTTGTTGCACTTTTAAAAATTTTAGGACTCAATTGTACTTTTTGAAAGTTTTAGTACTCGATTGCACGTTTATTACAAGTTTTAGGACTTCCAGTGTACTTATCAAATGCCGAGAAACATTGTTCTTTTTGTTTGTATGTATCGCCTCAAAACATTGCAATAGAGATATATGTATGAATTCTCTTCCTTATATATCTCGATAACAAAAGTTTTGCAACATAACATAAATAATAAATATTAAGGTAAATTACTTGGTACAATGATTCTAGACTGTATAAATCATACATGTCAATGTAGTTTCTAAATGTATATGAAAACACAAGTTTCAACTTTTGAATTTTTTTTTAACTTTATACATCTTTGAAATACTTCACTTACAACCACATTAAAATAAGGGAAAAATTATACAAAAGTCTTAAACCTATTATACGGCCGCCAATTCAGTCTGAAACTTTTCAATTTAGCCAATATAATCCTAAATGTGTTGACAATTTTTTATAGTAGTCATTTCGGCCAATTTTAGTCGGATATTACTGATATGACGGTTCAGTCAGCGTTGGCCATTCTATATGATACGATCAGCGCTACCGTTGATGAAATTTGTAATTTCTTTAACTTTCTTAAATTTTTTTTTTCCATTTTCTTTTCTCTACAATTTTTTCCTATTTCCCATTGTCGGGGCCTCGGCACTGGCCAGCGAGAACCATAACGCCCTCGCTTGTGGCCCATGGCCATCGTCGAGACCCTGGTGATCGGCGGAGGGAAATAGAAAATAAAAATAAAAAGAAAAAGAAGAGAAAAGAAAAGGAAAATGAAAGAAAAAACTTAGAAAATTTCAAAAAATTTGCAAAAATCGTCCACGTCATCACTGGAAGCTGGTTGTTCCGACTATGCCACATAGGTAGACCGATGCTAACTAAATTGATCAAATTGGAAAATTTAGAATTGAATCGGCGTCCATATGATAGACTTAGGATTTTAGGGACAATTCTCCCTAAAAATAAGATATGTGTGCAAGTATGCACGGGTATGAACATTTGTATCCAACTAACACTTGAAATGACAATGTGCCAATGGGATCCTCAATAATGCGATGCGACGGACAAAATAGGAATTGATTGCGTTACTAGTTTAGACGGACAATTGTATTGAATTCAATCAAGTACAAGCCTTAGTCATTATCACAAAGGAAAAAAAGGAATATCTTCACTAGAAGTCCTAAAATTTATCATCAAAGTATAATTGAGTCCTAAAACTTATAAAAAGTGTAATCGAATCCTAAAATTTGTCAAATTGGTTCAATCGAATCCTAAAGTTAATACCGTCCAATTTGACTAAGAGAAAATGCCGAAATGGCTTTTTTTTATTTTTTATATTCTACGTGGCAATGACATGGCTTTTTTTAATCATTATTTTAATATTAATTTTATTTGAATTAAATTTAAAAATAAGATAAAATAAAAAAAAAGGGAGGAGGAGGACAATCGGAGAGGGAGGGCTTGCCCTCCCCCCCGCCGCTGCCGTTGCCGCCGCCACCGTCCCACCATTGCCTGGAGGGGCCGACGAGGGTGGGGGGATGGCAGGTGAGGGCCTGCGCGCCCTCCCCCAGATCGGACGAGGGTCGTCGGCCCTCGCCCAGACCTGGCCGAGGGCCGAGGCCCGGCGACCCCCGCCTTCGTCCCCCCACCCTCGCCGGCCCCTCCCGGCAATGGTGGGGCGGCGGCGGCGGGGAGGGCAAGCCCTCCCTCCCCGCCTGTCCTCCTCCTTTTTTTTATAATTAATTTTAGCTTTTTTTTAAAATTTAATTTATATAAAAGTAGTATTCAAAATCAAATTTTGATTAAAATGATATCGTTTTAACCACGTCATTGCCGCATAGGAGAGAGAACAATATTAAAATAAGTTACGTCAGCGCCACGTCAGCATTTTCTATTAGTAAGTTTGATGTGTTAACTTTATGACTCAATTATATATTAGTGATAAATTTTAGGACTTCTAATGAGCATATTAAAAAAAAAACCAAGAAAAAGCACATTTGGTTTGTAACATTCGCTAGTTACTATTTGCTAGACCAATATGCGTAGTGCCTTACGTCATTGGCGTCCCATTTGTCGTTGCATGCAGTCATCATCTTTCTACAGTTTGTCTTTATCCTCTTTGCCTCCTCCCTATCTTTCTTTATAAAAGACCTCACCCGAGAGAGAGAGAGAGAGCGAGAGAGAGAGAGGAGATAGAGAGAGAGAGAGAGACATCAAGCTGTTGATTTATGGAAGCAGTTGAAGACATAGTGATTGTCGGTGCTGGCATAGCAGGCCTCACTACAGCTTTAGGACTTCACAGGTAATTGTTCTGGAATTGGAGCAGTTAGAACTTGAAGGAGTTGTTTTCTAAAAGTTTCTTGTTCTGCTCTTTCTCATTATCACCCTCCTTGTTAAATATATCTTGAATTTTATGTACTCGATCCGGTTCATCACTCGACTCGACATGACATATTTTTTGTGCGACTCAAAAGTGGAGAAAAATTGAGATTTAGTTCGTGACTTGAAGGGTTAGGCCGATAGGCCTATTTATACTGCGGCTAGGTTTTTTCATTGATTAAGAGAGATTTTCGTTTTGGGAGAGATTTGTGAGCCATGATGTTTTGTTAAGTCGTTTTTTCGACTTCTGAAAACTGTACTCTCTTTGATTATAATGGAATCTTATCTTGTCTCGCCCGTGGACGTAGATCACCTTGTGATCGAACCACGTAAATCCTTGTGTTCTGTATTTGTTTTTCCGCGTTTGTTTCGAACACTCCTTATGTTTATTCGTATGTCTCTGATATTCAAGTGAGTGCTGATAGTCTGTTGTGTGTTGCAGGCGTGGCATTAGAAGCTTGGTTCTGGAGTCGTCTGATGGGTTGAGAGCCACCGGGTTCGCCTTTACAACATGGACAAATGCTTGGCGGGCCTTGGACGCGGTCGGGATCGGCGAACCACTCCGTCCACAGCACTGCCAACTTTTTGGGTGACTGATGAAATCCTCCTCTTGCTGTGGCTAAGATGAATATATTTCTTATTCTTAGGATCACTGTGATTTGATAATTCCAATTGCAATTTGAATGTATAGTGCGACATAACATTGGACCCGCAAACGAAGATGTGAGCTCTTTAGTGATTTGGTTGGCCTACCGGGTTACTTGACAACCTATTGTTTTTCACAAGGCCGAGCCTGCATCAAGTTTATAGGGCGGACACGTCATTCTAATTTGGAATGAACGTGGAGAAACATTCTCGCATGATCTTGAAATGGCCTATACTGACTGCCCGTTAATATTTTAGCTTGTTATCGATGAGAATGATTTCCAAGCCTCATGTTATCGGAAGTGTAAGTATCTGTGGATGGTGATGTTTTCATCTAGAAAGTTTTCCTTTTGTTCGGGTTTTCAAGAAGGAATGCAATAGGAGTGGGATAAAACATATCCCAATATTGCTGAGTACCCACCCTAGAATTGAGTGAGAACCTTTACATGACATCTGATATGCAACATAGATCCATCAACTCTAGATGAAAAAGATATTTGCCATGATATTAATTCAACAGTTAGTTCATTTTCTTACCGCTCCGTTCCCAATTTGAATTGATATTTGAGAGGTTTTGGTTCAGGTTGCAGACCACTTCCACAATTTCTGGACTTTCTACAGCTGACAGAAATTTTGATGCCACTGAGACACAGTTAAGTCGTTTAAATTCATGAAAATCTATGTGACGTAAAATTGCATGCGAAACTAGCCATTCAAATAAACCACATCCATTGCTCACGTTTCTCACGCAAATTTCAACGGATTCCTAATTTCCTTTTTTAATGGTTTGTGTTATGTATGGTGTGTCTTTTAACTTTGTGCATCAATTGCAGACGAGGCCATGAAATTCGTTGCGTGCAGAGGAGAACCTTGTTGGAAACTCTTGCGAATGAGCTTCCTAGCGGCACTATAAGGTATTCGTCCAAGGTTGTGTCGATCGAGGAATCGGGCTACCTTAAGCTGGTCCATCTTTCTGATGGGTCAATTCTCAAGGCGAAGGTATAGCATCATAATAACCATTAATTAGGAAAATCTGCTTAGAGTGACAGAGAGATATTTTATGCTCGAGAGAAGCCCCTTTGTCTGTGCAAAATTTTCTTGCCTGTCTGAACAAGATATCTATGGTTTAACTTATCTTTATGCTTATGCTCTATGTGAAAATGCTAGGTGTTAATTGGGTGTGATGGAGTGAACTCCGCAGTGGCAACATGGCTAGGCTTCAAAAAACCTGCTTTCGTTGGCCGATCTGCCATTAGGGGCTGTGTGTTTTACGAGCACGGTCATGGTTTCGAGCCTAAATTCTTCCAATACTTTGGTGAAGGAGTTAGATCTGGTGTCATCCCTTGCGATGACAAGTCTATTTACTGGTTCTTCACTTTTTCTTCTTCCCGCAAGAGTGAGTTTCTGTGCTTCATTCCATATGAGTTGGGCTTTTGGAAACTATTGAATTCTTTTACTCTGCTTTTCATATTATCTACAAGCAAAAAATGTCACTTTCGTCAATGCAGATGAAGAGATGGAAGAGAGTCCGGCCAAGATGAAGCAATTTGTGCTGGGCAAGCTCGGAAAAATACCCGACAACGTGAGAGCTGTTTTCGAGAAAACAGAACTGGATAACATTATACTGTCACCGCTGAGATTTCGACCCCCATGGGAGATTCTGTGGGGGAACATAAGCAAAACTAATGTCTGTGTAGCCGGAGACGCATTCCACCCCATGACGCCAGATCTTGGCCAGGGAGGCTGTGCGGCTCTAGAAGATGGCGTCGTCCTAGCAAGATGCCTCGGTGAAACCTTGAGGGAGAAGCAAGGCATGGGCAGTGAAGAAGAGTACAAGAGGATTGAGATGGGCTTGCAGAGTTATGCCAAAGAGAGAAGACGGAGAGCATTTGAGCTCATAAGCACAGCTTACATGGTGGGATACATCCAACAGAGCAATGGCAGGGTATTGAACTTCTTGAGGGACAGAGTGCTGCCCAGCTTCTTGGCCGGGCAGCTGCTGAAGATGACGAGTTACGATTGCGGGAAGCTGAGCGCTTCTTGAATTACCCTATTTGTTTACTTATCAATGTGTTTTGTGCGAGCATTTATATGGGCCGTTCTCATCATACATCATATACACAACACTAATAAGGGAGATAGGTATGTTAAGTCGTGATCGGTTTGCTTTGCCTCTCAAATATCAGAGAAAGGGTTCCTGTCTATGCAGAGACAGGTTTGTGAAGTGAAGGACAAAAAGTCCCATAAGGGCATTTTTATGTATGATTTCAGGAATGTCAAGGAGGAGTCTTGTTCACATAAATATCACCATTTATAACTCAAGATTTTGTGTTTTTGGCAAATTTGCTAGTTTTTCATTGACGAAAAGCCTTAACTCGTCCTTTTATATGTTGGGCCGCTATAAAGTCAACACATCGAATTAACCATTCAAAATTCCAATTTTGCATCTAGAGAACTTCTTACACGAACATGAAGTTTGGTGCAATGGTATCAACTGTCATTCGTTATCTCATACTGCATTTGCTTTAGAGTTCGCAAAGTGGAAATGTTTTTCACCATTTTAGATGGGTTTGAGCCCATTTAAAACTTGAATATAAATGTAAATTTTAGTTGGATGAAATAATAATACATTTTATCCCAATTAAAACATGACATAAGTTTGAAATGGTCAAATAAGAATGAGACCACAAAAAAAAATATCTAAACATATAAAGCTTCATAAAACTTCTTAAACCATTTTAAATAATAAATAGGGTTGCAAATGCTCGATTCGAAGTTTTGTATCAAATATACTATAAATTTCACTTCTTCCTTTTAACAAAATCGCACTCTATTCATAATAAATCTAATTCTTTTCATTTTCAAAATATGAGTTCACAAATTCAAAAAAGAAATAGCATTGCTCATTTGGGAATGTCCAAAACCAAATAATGTAGCTACAAGAGTTGGCGATATCGTGATCCTATCAATTAAACGAGAATCGATGTCAAAATCAAGTAAAACACTCCTTCAACTAATGACTCAACTAAACTATGCTATTTTGTAGTCAAAGTGCTCACTACGGGTCGATAAAAGACCTCAAGAACAGCGACTGCGGCAAATTTTAATGCGAAGAACAACCATTTGCATGACAAATGGCCACTCGCGCGACAAACTTCATCATGCCATAACTCTCTCCACTAAATCCCTTTTAAGCAACCTTACAGTTAAAAAAAAAACTCTTTTAAAGTACTAGAAGAGTCATAGCTTGGCCAACCCAAAATTTAGTCGGCAACTGACGAAATTTGGCTCGAAGGCTGCTTGTCGAGTATTGTTCATCAAGCGCGCCCGACTTCGAAAATTCGTTGTTACAATAATTAAATACAAAATCATGCATTCATCTCACAGCTTAAGTTTTTAGAATAGTTGACAGTGATCCATAAAATCTCATATGGTATCAGAGCCGGAGGTCTTGAATTCAAATCTTTTCAGGCTCTATTTTAAGTGGTTACATAAAATCTCACATCTCTTTCGGGCAAACGTAAACCTAAATCTAGTTCTGTAAAATCCCTTCTTTTCTTTCTTCCCATTTCTTTCTTTTCTCTAAGCGTTCCTTCTTCTTTCCTTCTTGTTGACCGGTTCTTTTTTTATTTTGTTTTTACGGACCTGCTGTTACGTAGTGGCTTCCGTCATTAGTGTCCTATTTGTCGTTGCATGCACCGTAAGCCTAAATCTAGTTCCGTAAAATCCCTTCTTTTCTTTCTCCCCATTTCTTTCTTTTCTCTAAGCGTCCCTTCTTCTTTCCTTCTTGTTGACCGGTCCTTTTTTGTTTTTGTTTTTGCGGACCCGCGATTACGTAGTGGCTTCCGTCGTTAGTGTCCTATTTGTCGTTGCATGCCGTCATCATCTTCCTAAAGTTTATCTTCGTCGTCTTTGCCTCTTTTATCTTTCTTTATAAGAGACCTCACTCGAGATTGATCGAGAGAGAGAGAGAGGGGAGAGAGAGGTAGAGAGAGCTGTTGATTAATGGAAGCAATTGAAGACATAGTGATTGTCGGTGCTGGCATAGCAGGCCTCACTACAGCTTTAGGACTTCACAGGTGATTGTACTTCAATCGGAGCAGTTACAACTTGAAAAGAGTCGTTCTCTAAAAGTTTCTTGTTCTGCTCTCTCTCATTCTCACCCTCCTTATGTTTGTTCGCATGTTTCTGATATACAAGTGAGTGTCGATGATCTGTGGTGTGTTGCAGGCTTGGCATTAGAAGCTTGGTTCTGGAGTCGTCTGATGGGCTGAGAACCACGGGGTTCGCCTTGGCAACATGGACAAATGCTTGGCGGGCCTTGGACGCGGTCGGGATCGGCGAACCACTCCGTCCACTGCACAACCAACTTTTTGGGTGACTGATGAAATCCTCCTCCTCTTGCTGTGGCTAAGATAATAATATTTCTTATTCTTAGGATCACTGTGATTTGAAAATTCCCATGGCAATTTGAATGGATATAAGTACACTAGAAGTGTCAAAAGTTGTGTACGACGCTCATTTTGGTACAAAAAGTTTTTGCTATCTCACTTAAGTACAAAATCGGAGAAAAAAAATCACTGAAGTGCCTTCGACGAGAAATTCCGATAAAAAATATTATGTGACTTTTATAATAAAATGTTTAATCTGACATGGCATTTTTATATTAAAAACGAGTTTACGTGGCATGAAGTCCAGCCCAAAAATGACGTCGCATGAGCTTCTCTCAAAATAGGCGCACTGTGAAGCTTTGTTCTACCACCCTCTCACTGTCGTTCAGTCACCGTCGCCGTCGGCTCGGTCGCAATCCCTCACTTGCTTGCATGTCGTCTCTCACTTGAGGTTTGTCATCTTCTCTTAGTCGCTCAATTGGCTGAAAAAGTTCGGGCTTGGAGGGAATATTCAGCTTCTTCTTGGACTCGGTAGCCCACAATAATAATAATATTTAGCTTCTTCTTCATTTTGTTGAAACGAATTTGAATTTGCAAGATTGAACTATTAATTTTTGGGGAAAATTGAATTAGGGTTTCGAATTTGGGAAAATGGTTGAATGGTCGATTAGGGTTTATATTTAGGCCAAAACATGTAGATGACGTCGTTTAGGGGTATATATGATGATTGAGCACGCGGGTGAATCACGTAAGCTGGAGAAATTAATAAATATGGCAGCGTTGGATCTCCAGTGACTCAAATCAGAGTTAGCACTAAAGTGATCCGAAAAAATCTTTTGGCACCAAATTGAGCGACGTACGAAACTTTTCACACTTCTAGTATTCTTATACCAATTTGAATGTATAGTGTGACATAACATTGGACCCACAAACGAAGATATTAGCCTTTTAGTGACTGGCTTGGCCTACCGGGTTACTTGACCACCTACTGTTTTTCACACGGCTGAGCCTGCATCAAGGGTATAGGGCCGACACGTCATTCCAATTTGGAATGATCGGGGAGAAACATTCTCACAGGATCATGAAATGGATTATACTGACTGTCCGTTAGAATTTGAGCTCGCGTCATGTTCCTAGAAGTGTGAGTGTCTGTGGATGGTAATGTTTTCATCTAGAGAGTTTGCCTTTTGTTCGGGTTTCTAAAGAAGGAATGCAACAGGAGAGGGATTGGACACATCCTGATATTGCTGAGTACCCACGCTAGAATTGAGTGAGCACCTTTATATGACATCTGATATGCAACATAGATCCATCAACTCTAGATGAAAATGATATTTACCATGATATTAATTCCACAGCTAGTTCTTTTTCTCATGGTTCTGTGCCCGATTTGAATTGATATTTGAGAGATTCTCATTCAGGTGGCAGACCACTTCCACAGTTTCTAGCCTTTCTTCAGCTGAGAGACAATTCGATGCCACAGGAACACAGTTAAGTAGTTTAAATTCATGAAAATTTATGTGATGTAAAATTGCATGTGAAATTAGCCATTAAAAAAAACCAGATCCATTCCTCACGTTTCTTGCGCAAATTTCGGTGGATTCCTAATTTCCTTTTTCATTGGTTTGTGTTATGTATGGTGTGTCTTTTTAACTTTGTGTATCTATTGCAGACGAGGCCATGAAATTCGTTGCGTGCAGAGGAGAACCTTGTTGGAAACTCTTGTGAAGGAGCTTCCTAGCGGCACTATAAGGTATTCGTCCAGGGTTGTGTCGATCGAGGAGTCGGGCTACCTTAAGCTGGTCCATCTTTCTGATGGGTCAATTCTCAAGGCGAAGGTATAGCATCATAATAACCGTTAATTAGGAAAATCAACTTAGTGTGACAGAGAGATATTTTATGCTCCAGAGAAGGGTCTGTGCAAAATTTTCTTGCCTGTCTGAACAAGATATCTATGGTTTAACTTATCTTTATGCTTATGCTCTATGTGAAAATGCTAGGTGTTAATTGGGTGTGATGGAGTGAACTCCGCAGTGGCAACATGGCTAGGCTTCAAGAAACCTGCTTTCGTTGGCCGATCTGCCATCAGAGGCTGTGTGTATTATGAGCACGGTCACGGTTTCGAGCCTAAATCCTTCCGGTACATTGGTGAAGGAGTTAGATCTGGTGTCATCCCTTGCGATGACAAGTCTATTTACTGGTTCTTCACTTTTTCTTCTTCCAGCAAGGGTGAGTTTCTGTGCTTCATTCCATATGAGTTGGGCTTTTGGAAACTATTAAATTCTTTTACTCTGCTTTTCATATTATCTACAAGCAAAAAATGTCACTTTCCTTAATGCAGATGAAGAGATGGAAGAGAGTCCGGCCAAGATGAAGCAATTCGTGCTGGGCAAGCTCGGAAAAATACCCGACAAAATGAGAGCTGTTATCGAGAAAACAGAACCGGATAACATTGTACTGTCACCGCTGAGATTTCGACCCCCATGGGAGATTCTGTTGGGAAACATAAGCAAAACCAATGTATGCATAGCTGGAGACGCATTCCACCCCATGACGCCAGACATTGGCCAGGGAGGCTGTGCGGCTCTGGAAGATGGCGTCGTCCTAGCGAGATGCCTGGGCGCAGCCTTGAGGGAGAAGCAAGGCATGAGCAGTGAAGAAGAGTACAAGAGGATTGAAAAGGGCTTGCAGAGTTATGCCAAAGAGAGAAGATGGAGAGCATTTGAGCTCATAAGCACAGCTTACATGATGGGATACATCGAACAGAGCAATGGCAGGGTATTGAACTTCTTGAGGGACAGAATACTGGCCAGCTTCTTGGCCCGGCAGAGGCTCAAGATGGCGAGTTACGATTGCGGGAAGCTGAGCGCTTCTTGAATTACCCTATTTGTTTACTTATCAAGGTGTTTTGTGCGAGCATTTATACGGGCC